CCTCTTATATTACGTACCTAAAAATTTTAGTGCCCCTATTTTCAACCATTGTATTCACTATATCAACACTAGTCGGGGCAACTTCTACTGGAAATGTTACTCTCCATTGGCCGGGTTGATTATCGGCTAATAACCATGAATTGCCTGGTCCATCACCACCTCCTGGACAAATAATTACATGCGGGTCATTAAAACCTGGTCTTTGAGATCCATTGCCAACAGTAATCTAACAATAGAGCAGAGTGATTAGATATATAAAATGAATAGCCAAGTGTACGCTTATCTTGATTATATCATCAATCGTATTACAATACACTCGTACGCGGCATACTTTGCCAAAGATAATTTATCAAATGATTTCTTCCAAGCCATACCCTACTTACATTTCCATATGTCATGTCCAATGGCTGAGATGAAGTAACGTCGCCAAAACTTCCATCGGATGTAGCCCCAAACTCGCCACCGAAATATACTGTCGCGTTATCACTATTCAACACGATTGTGTTAACGGGTCCATTGAAGCCACCAAATGGTAGCGGGCTCCATTGACCATCTTTCCATATTGCGACGGAGCCCCCATAGCTTGGTTTATCCTGAGCAGAGACATTGACTGGGGCGGTAAATGAACCTCCAACGTATAGTGTGTTAGTGGATGAGTCACACAGAAGTGAAAGTACAGGGCCATCTAGACCCAAAGAGAGGTTGGAGAAAGTAGATTTCACTGGATTGTATAGGGCGATGTAATTTACTGTAAGGGAAACGCCGGCGTTGTTTGTGATAGTGGTGAAGCTTCCACCAACATACACGTCTAATTCTTCTCCTCTGTTCATTTGGCACATTGTATTGATAGTTTTATTTCCTTCTGTATATCCCAACAATGTAAAATTGTCTCCTTTTTTCTGTATTATGGACCCATTTGCTCCGTTATAACTTTGTTGCGGCCCTCCTTCTGTATATAAAGAAATTTCATTGTATTGTCCTGCTATACCTATTTTCTTGAGACTCTCTAGATTTACGTTAGGTAGCCCACTTGGTATACTCGAATATACCTGCGTGGGTATTGATGAGAGGAGGAAGAGGAGGAGGAAGAGAAAGGATGCTAGAGGGGGTGGTGTGGTATACATTGTATTAACATGAGTCGGATCGGAATTAAAGAATGTGAAGGTTCGATGTAGAGAGTAAAGGGGATAAGGAGGGATATGCAAGTGTATACGTTAATACAGCGGTTATATTATTATTATTGTGTTGCTGTTGTTGTTGCTGTAGTAGTAGCTATTATTATTATTACTTTTACTATTACAATTTACTGCAGTACTTTGGTGTCTGATACCGTAATATTTGTATCAAGTATTCAGTTATATTATTTGTTATCCTGTTAGGTTGCAATTCAGCTCACTTCTTGTACTATATTGCAGCAGACGAGCAAATGCAGAACCAAACTACTCTCTCTAATATACCACTCTGTCTATGCTGCTCGATTTTCAGTATGCAAGAGCAAGAGTAGCAGAGAAGAGAGTGGGATTGATGAAAGAGTAGCTCCTGAATGTGGTTTTGGGTATCAATGAATTTTTTTTTGTTAGTCGAAGAACTGCAACTGAATGTCGAGACTGGGCACAAATGCCAACAACACATTGCAATCTCCGCGTTAGTTACACAGTTGAACACAATGCATGGAAATGTGAACGTGTGTGATGCTATTGGATGAATTTCGGCTCATTTGACAGTCTTATTAATCCATATAAATACATAGTATAACATATGTCTTATCGTTCCGTCCCTTTTCATTGCTTCTCACCCATAGTTGTCTATGGAAATCGCCATAATGCAGTTATGCGCATTGTTAGGGCTTTCAACTATGAGATCTTTGATTGTATCAAAGTATGCTTGTACCACGGTGCCTGACCATCACAAGTAAAAATCGTCACAAATATGGTTTATAAATACCTTATCAAAAATAAAAAGATTAATTTAGCTATTGTAATTAATAAAAATAACCACAACAATATCCAGTGTTATTGCGGCGTACAATCATTGCACGTGAGTAACGGTAGCTATCGCAATCAGATATGCAAACAAATCAAAATGCTGGCAGAGGACAAGTTGACAAATCCCATTCAGATTACCAAATTTAATAACTGCCTGCCGGAGGTAGATCCCAGTACTAGTATCGGTATCAATTCATCATGAATAGAAAATTTGGACTACCAAAAAAAAAAAAACCAAAAAACAACGTTACTTTAATGGTATGGCTAGGTTATTAGAGCATTAAGTTGCAAAAATCCATACTCGATATATTCACTTGACGAGGAAACAAAGTCACAATTGTAAATAGTACAGCGATAATGGCAATGACAATACCCAATCCGTGATGAGGGTTATGCTATACCTGACTATGCCGATAGAGATGCAGAACAGGTTGACAATCGTGAACTTACTCCTTAAACTTCAAACATTATCACAATACATGGTTATGTATACTGCATATGTTACGAACATATGCAATGTCCATGCAATGAATGGACCACATAAATGAAAAATATTTTATCTGGTTGTGAAAATACAATATCGTCGTTATGCATCATAACTTTGTGTACTTTTTACTTGCATTGAAAATTTTTTGGATGAGGGCCTCTCGGAGGTATATAAGTAAACTCGATAAGTCGGGTAAACCCTTTTCTTCAATAAGTCGAACAGCCATGGCCAGCCAGTCGTGTCCAACTTATCGAGTTCCGAGAAGGAGCGTAAATACAACAATGTTAGAGATAAAAGAGTAGTCCTTGAAATGGTTTAATAATGGGGTAAAGCGCCCCAGGAATTTTTTTCGGCGCCACAAACGGTCTTGCAAAGTTTTTTTTTTTTTTTTTTAACATTAATCGGGTAATCCCAACACAAACCAGTAATAACAAGAAAGGACTTTCAACCATTCTGAACAAGACAGCAAACGAAACCCGACAGACTTGTCGTTCATTGGTACATAGTAGTAGCAATAAGAAAGAATAGAATGAATTTCGATTAATTGTAGTTATGCAATACTGCCAAGCAACAACCGGATCTTCACCAGGATTGTCGGAAATCAATTACACTGATGTTAGTTACTGTTGTACCTTTGATTTGTTTAGTTTACTAACCAGCAAGTGTTAATCTTCAGTGATAAATTCTTTGGTTACGATTATTATGTCGCTGCGTCCAACTAAACCTTATCTGCTTCCCTTTTTGATAGAAGTTTTGCAAGTACTTAATTATTAGTGACTTCAGTGAATTATACGGCACCTATTTCGTAATTGAATAATCTACATTAGAACCACTAATATTATGTCAGATGATCGGAATGTAAGATCTGTGTAATAGTAATGACGTTCTTTTTCTAATTATGATACCCGACACCTATTCCTTGAAGTACTCGGAGACTTCAACGGAACGACGAAATACTACTTTATGATGGAACAATATCAAAAGAATGCAGTTAAGCGTATTAGATAAAGTCTCACGATGTTGCATATCATTTTGATAATATAATCGTCATCTCGTATTTCGCTAAAGCAAATTTACTCTCCCAATGTCTACTACTACTTCGATTCATCGATTGAAAACGTTTCCGAATTTTTTCCTCGACCGCTCTTTGAATGAATATAATTAATTTATATGTGGATGATGAATTATATATTTTTCACTACTGATAGTAATGTAGCACCTCAACACCTTAACAACACCTTAACAACACTACATCACACAACAACACTGCAACACTGCAACACTGCAACATTGAACAATGGAATTGTTACGCTCCTTATATACCGTAGACCTCTGCTACAGTGGATTTTGGTTATTGTGCTTTTTTAAACTATTCGAATATGTAGTACAAAATAGATTTTAGGAGTTCACAATATTTTTTGTGTCGATAAGGATAATAATCGGTCAAATTAGAGCGACGGAAAGTTTTCTTCCTTTTTTGTGGAGAAAAAGGGATCATTCACAGTCTAGGGATAGAAGTATATTCTGATTGATAATCAAGGAACAAATGACAGATGAGGAAATTGTCACATTTGTGGTGAAGAAACTCAAGAGCCGGAGAATAATGAAGAGTCAAAATACTTGTCCGATTAACGAATGTAGTTAGATATTTACAACAAAATGATCTCGTGGGGTTGATTTTGTAGCCATGAAAATGTTAAACAGTTTAATGCGTCAAATTCTTCGAAAACAAGCGGCCGTCTGGCATTATTAAATACTTTCAAACCAATAAAATTTATTGATAAAATTAACGAATTAGTTAATTAACCTTAAGTATGATTGATCACTAATGATTTTGATTAACTTGCACGTAATGTTCGCTATAGTAATAGTGTATATCACATGATCTATTATTAAATTTCTTGAAATCTCGTTACAGTGCAGAATTTTTTGTCTCCACTATAACAATAAAGCGAGTCACTATGTATAGCACCCCCCCCCCCCCTCAATTAGACCCGGATACAACTCAGAAACTTTTTGCGCAATGTACCCGAGTTCATAAGAACATTCATCGGACTAACAATTATAATTTACTATTGACCCAACTAACACGATTACGCATTATAGAATTTTAAAACCCAAGATTAAAATGTCGTATCGTTGTCAGTTAGAATTTAAGTAACTACTCAAATAGTGTGCCCTCCATCGTACACCATACCCGCCCGGTACAAATAAAGTTATCCGAGGACTAAATTCAGTCTATTCACGCCCTTGGTTGAGGGCGTGAATCTAAGAATATTATTTAGGGAGTCTGTTGTAATAAATTACGTGATAGTGATAATTATTAGTTTCATAATAATTGCTTTGAATTATTGATCTATGCTTGTCTGCATCATATTAGCTTCTTTAGTATTTTTTGAAAATATTTGTTTACTTGCTAGTAATACTGTTTGATATTGTCGCATTAGAACAGACTCTTTAAGAGCCTGCTCAAGTTCTAGATACGTAACCAATCAGTGACTTCATTATAGAGTAACACTTTTTTGAAATTTGCGTTATCTAGATTCACTAACGCAGGCTCTCCATTTATTTTCAACGAGCATACAGACAAAGCTTATATTTTGAGCATCCGAAAGGTAATATTATACTTATCTTTCTACTAACTGATAGGCTCTTTTACAATAATTCAGAAATGCAACTTGTTTAGTAGGTTAAAGCACTGTACAATCAAGCATCAAGAGTTCCAAGTTCTAATGTCTGCAACATAGCTAAGTCGAATATGCTTATAACAAAATGCTCTTTGGTTGCCTGCAATTCTCATGTATATGTAACAAAATACTTATTCAGGATAATGGATAGACATGAACAATAAAACCAAGTCCAACACTATATTAAAGTGACCGAACACCAATTAATTGTAATTACGTTTTTTTGTGCTAGATAATTAGATAACAAAACGCTATTAGTGCCACTCGCTATATTGCAATGTCACACTATTGTTTATCAGAAATCAGTTTAATTATATGCGCGACTTATCAGATTTGTTAACTAGTGAAAAATATTTTACTGCGTATGTTCCGAATGTTACATTAATACTATTGTTCTCTCAATGTGAAATACGCACGATATCAATGTAATTATGAGTTATACAAGGCAATATATCGATTGGCCATCATGCTTATAAATAACTATTTTTTTTACAAAGTTCATACTTGTTTTTTTCCAAGGGTGTAGCTTTTTCTGGCAAAGCCCAAGAACTTTCTCCATCGTAATTGGGGTCTTCTAATTCTTGAGTATCTTTTGCTCTGTGGAAGAAAGATTGTTTTTCTTTTTTATAGTTAAGTTTTACTAAAAATAAAATCCCTTTGCTAAAAAACCA